AATATATAGAAAAAATTAGCCGGGCATGGTGGCGCATGCCTGTAGTCCCAGCTACTCGGAAGGCTGAGGCAGAAGGATGGCTTGAGCCCAGGAGTGTGAGGTTGCTGTGAGCTAGGCTGACGCCACGGCACTCGCTCTAGCCTGGGCAATGCAGTGAGACTCTGTCTCAAAAAAAAAAAAAAAAATTGTTTTAAACTGTAAATTGACAACTTATAGTTGTGTATATTTATGGGGTACAAAGTGATGTTATGAATTATGAATACAATGTAGAATAATTAAATCAAGCTAATTAACATATTCCATTATCTGAAATACTTATTTTGTATGGTGAGAACACTTGAAATTTACTCTCTTAGCAATTTTGAAATACATAATACACTATTATTAACTATTAAAGGTTAGTGACAATATGGAATCAGAAGCATATCAATCAAATTTTCATGCTCTGTTACACTAAAATCCATTGCTATCTGAATTTTAAATGGGTCTTTTAATTATTTATGATTTTATAACATTAAGCATTGGGAATTTGGAAGATTTTGGTATGCTGAGTTATGTAGATCTTCCAAATATTAACACATTTCATTATATAATTTTTAAAAATCACATTCATTATTAATCACCACTGATCTTATCAATAAGTCTTTAGTGCTGGGAAGCTGTCATGCTCATGGTGGCAGATACAAGATTTTCAAAATTTTAATTTTCATTTAAAAGCTCGAATTTTATCATTGGCATCAAATAATGTCAGGTGTTTTCTTTGAAGTGATTGGCTAACTTTGTTCATTTTTGAGAAAATGTCTGCCAAATATCCCATTTTCAATAGCCATAGTCTGTCTGTTGTTCATTCAAACAAAAATAGTGTTCCTTGAAAAAAGCAGATAGTTCACCTTCCAACTCAAATGATGGCACAAATGCTTTTCCTTGAGACAGATGTTGTACTTCAGTATTCAGCAAAAGTGCTTTATGTGTACATTCCATTCATCACACAAAATAAAAAAAGATGTATATACAAGCTTTGAGGTTTAATAAAATTAATAATTTTTGGAGCTTCATCAAGGACATTCTTAAGTGGGAACTTGCATTTTCATTTTACTGTGTGGAAGTAAAAAATACACCAACTGCTAGTATAGTTTTGGTCCCATTGCTTTGACTTGTGCTAAGGTGTCAGCACTTTTACCCACCATTCCTTTTGCACCATCCTCACAAATGTCTAATGGTGAAAAAGGCAAATAACATCTTTGTCCTATTACAGAAATAGTTTTGACATCAAGGACTCTCAGAAAGGGCCTTGGGAAGCCCCAGGGGTCTGTGGATCACACTTAAGGACCACTGCTCTAAAGTTTTGCAAAGGGCCAGCCCTTCCAGGATGCGAAATATAGCTACTAGTACATTTGGGAGGAGAGGTGAGGTCTCCTTCACATAAGGCAATGTGCCTTACTTTTTGGAGTCTGAGATCGACTTTTTATTTCTTTGGGAAACTAAAGGCATCTGGCTTGGGAGCACGATTATTCTCCACTCACCTTTAAACTGCTTCAGCTATTACTAAGTCTCTGGCAGTGATATGTTGATTATGTGAATTTAAAGCCCACAGGAGCCAGAGGAATGACAGATCAGATTCCCTTAAATGAGAAATAAAATCCAGGAGCCTGGCAGCGGGACATACGGCTCTCGCTCCTGCCGACCTTTGATGTCACTCTGGTAGAATGACTGCTTCTGGGCCAGATGGCATGTGGCTTAAATGGAGATGTCTCAACCTGTTTCCTAGTATTAATTGTGCACATTGATACTTCTTCGTTGGGCAGTTCGTAATTCTTCATCGTCAACCTCATTTAGATTCTTTTTTTTGAGAGGCAGCTGAACTCTAGCAGGCCTCCGTGCATCCAAGCCATTTCAAATTTCTTTTAAATCTCCAAACCCAAACCTTTTTATATCCAATCACTGTTACAGGCTGACAGAAATGAATCTCCCTTTTGTCAATTGAATGTAAGTCTAGCAACTTTTAAGAGCAATAAGATTGAAGGACAGAGTGAGTCTCTACACTCTAGAGAAGGTGGCTGAATGGAAGCCCATTTAATTTTTTGTTTAAAGGCACTAAATAAGGATCAATTTGTAAAGGCAGCTTTTCAAGTGTAGCAAGATAGCTTCTGAAATCTGATGGGGATAAATGGAAGGTCAATACCCTCTTTCTTATCAATAATTTCACCAAATAATATTTATTAAGGGCTTTCAAGTTGGGCTTCTTAGCTATAAACAAGCAAATACACCAAGCAGAGATATTGGAAGGACAGTTCCTAGGTATAGAGTGTCTGGACTAGAAGCTAACATTCCTTGTTTATAGTAAAGCGTGCTTTGATTCCTCAAAAGCTGAACTTATAATTTATTTCTAAATTAATTTGAAGTAGACCCAATGAGCAACAAAAGCAAATTTAGTCAATTAGGAGAGAGCTAACTTTTTTCGCTCAGGGTCATGTGTCAGGACAGAATTCTGTCATATGAAAAATGTCTCAGTTTTGAAAAAAAAGCACTGCTTTGAGGAAAGAAGAGAAGATAAGTTATGGATATTATATTTGACAAATTTTTCCCTTTATATTCACAGTATTTGAATTATATACACATCACTAAAAAAATACTAAACCCTCATAAAAAGCCTGGCAAGTAATAGTAATTGTGAAACAGGGGCATTTGCATATGTTTTAATGGTATAAGTTTTAGTTTTTGCTCAAAATTCTGGTTCGCTGTTTATAATAGGGACCAAATATCCATGCTTCTGTAAGAATCACTTTGGCTTATAAGAAAATACAGGATGGCTTTTTAAATTTCTAAGCCAACAAAATTTCAAATGTTCTAAAGGTTAAATCAGCATGCAATGGGAAACTTGGTTTAAGAGAAAAAAGTGTGTTGGCCTAGTGTTTAGGCAGGTTAGGTGTGTTCGGAGACTCCTTGAGATGGGCCCATAAGAAATTTATTTGCATGAGGGATGGAGTTGCTTCCTGTAAATGAATTAATCGTAAGAGAGAGTAGCATTGCTGGGATACTGAAAAGGTTTAAGACCTAGAGGAGAGTGTCAGAGGCAAGTGGCATTGTACATTTGCATTTAAACCAGCCACTGTGAACTTGCACTATCTGAGTCCTTGGCAGGGAAGCAATAATTAAGAGCAAGTACAATCTAAAAGAGTTATTTCAGAAAAATCTCCTTTAGACATTGGGGAATATAAGTCTGAAGCGCTTTGTAGGCTATAAAATAGAGTGAAATAAAAGGGGGCATGGAAGCCCATTTATCTCCTTGGACTCAGCAGCACCTTCAGGGGTATTGTGTCTTTGTTGGGGCACTTACGACTTCAGGCATTGGTGGACATTGGTGCCCTTGGTGGTTATTGGGTCGTTGCTGTGTTTTCACCATTAGCGTAGCCAAGAATCAACAACTCAACAAGCCAGAGCCAGAGAAAAGGAAAATGACTGCTGCTGTGTGGTAACTGAATACTGAAACCAACATAATTCCCTGTCACTGTGTAAAACAATAATGGACCTGGGAGTAGTTTTCTGTTCCCATGTTAATCAAAATTCTGTGAATAAGCAAACTTAGCTACTTGCTTCAGAAACTATCTTTTACTGAAAAATAAAATTGTAAGCCCACTAAAAGAGCTCACTTAACAAGAATAACATCTTCCCTGTCAAAACTTGCTTCGATATTCTCCCCTGTGCCTGCCAATCTATAGCTATCATGTCACAAAATCTGCCTGGTCCCAATTACATGCTGACCTGCCCTAAAATCACCCAGCCCAGTTCCTAATATCCTATCCTGCCATCCTCCTTCTGAGACACTATTTAGACACTGTTAAGGTAGCATTCTCCCATACTGCAGTAAGTCTATAACACTTTGCTTTGATTGATCAATGGATTTTCCTGTTCTTTTTTGGGGGGTGGGGCTTGACAGCCGACATAGCCAAAAAGATGAATGTTTGCACATTCAGGAGAGTAGAGGTGTCACAATTATGGGTAGGGGTGGAGCCAGAAAAAGACGATGTGTTGCTGTTTTTGGGATCTGGTTTGTACTTGCAGGGAAGTGAGAGCTGAGGAAACTTGGCTCAAATACCCCTAACCATACTTTAAATTAAGCAAGAACACAAATGTCTAGCACAGTGAAGTTACCATATATATTTTTTACATGGTTTTTCCTTGATAAGATAAATGTAATGCTCCCTTTCTTACAAAGGTGATTTTAAATTTATTGTATTACGAAATCACAAAATCTTAAAGGTATGTGTGTTTTGTATACACACACACACACACACACACACACCCCATCCCATCCTATTTCAATGAGGGATTTGAGGCAGTTTACGAAAATGCAATAGGGTAAGTCAGTCCCAGGAGGCAAGGCTCTGAGGAGCCTAGCCAGAGCTCATTTCCCATTGCCATTGGTTTCTATTTCCACAAAGACCACTTTCTCTTTCAGCACTGAAGAGCAGCATTAGCAACCCCAACACTGAAGCTTTTTCTTCCTCTGCCCAAACTCCCTCACCAGAGTGGTGGGATCAGGCAAGTGAGAAGAGAAGGAAGCCCTTGAAGGTCAAAGATGCATGAGGATGGGGGATGGCGGGAGGAGTCTGACCACACTTGTGCCTCCTGGGCATGGGAAGGTGGTGCACATGCATTGCTGCTGGCTATTGACATGCTCCCAGGCGCCTAGCTAGCCTAAACATGGGTCCTGCTGACGCTTATAATGGGTTACCAGGCGCTCACAGTTCTGCATTGTCGTGTGGCCTTGATGTTCACAGATGAATTCCTTTAAAGCTGATTTCTGAGGACATAAAACAAAGCCAAATCTGTGTCTCAAACTCCAAGGACTATGAACAGGATGCCTGCTGGTGAAGAATGTGAATATAATGAAGAAGGACAGTATGACCATAAAGGAAGTGAATTGTTGAGGAAAAAGAAAAAATTTCCTGATTGTCTTCGGGAGGACTTTAAGATAAACATCATAGGTGAAAAGGATGATTCACCAGTTCATTTCTGTGACATATGTGCTTTGCCTATTAAAATCTATGGGCGAATAATTCCGTGCAAGCATGCTTTTTGCTATTACTGTGCTAATTTCATATGAAAAACATGGAGATAAGCTATGTCCAGGCTGTAGTGATCCTGTGCTGCAAATTGAGAAGCATACACGAGGTTCTATCTTCATGTGTGGCACTGTTCAGGGATGCAAGAGAACATACTTGTCTGAGAAAGACTTACAGGCTCATATCAACCACTGCCATAAGATAGCTGGAAAACTTGTTACCTGTGCTTCACTTGAAGAAGTTTATCCTTGTATTGCTTCACCGCTAACTGAAATCCACACAACGCTGCTAGGCAAGGGCCGTATAAGCCATACTGCACCAGAGCAGCACACCATGATGCCACCACCTACAGTGCAACATGCGCCACACAAGCACTGTAATCAGCCACATGAGGGTATTCATGCCCCTCCAGCAGGATTGTCTCCATCTCCATCTTCTTCCGTCCATCAGGAAACTGTTTATATTTCAACAAGAGAACACAATTTAATAATTGTTCCTATTCAGGATGATTCAAATTCTGGTGCTAAGGACCTACCACCTCCTGCCCCAGCACCTGCTCACTATCATCTTGAATATCAAAGTCAATCAGTGGTATCACACGCTTATCATATTATACCTCCGGAACAGCATTACACACCACCTCCACTACCAGTGAACCATCCTATTCCATATTCTCCTCAGGATGTACGTACTCATGACTTGGTTTGTAGCCAACTGCCATCTCCAACCACGACCTTTGATCTATCACCAATAATCTCTTCCCTTGGATATATTATTGCTGAGGTGCCACCTTGCATGAATTCTCCTCCAGGTTCTCCCCAGTCTCAAAACAGTGATTCATCTGTAAGTGAATTCCCTCTTGACAATTATAGTCCTAACTCTTTAACCCAGTTTACTGAAGATCAAGAAACTCTGAGCCCTTCATGTACACAAACAGATGGAATAAGTCCTGGTATATGGCCTACATCAAAAGAACTGCCACCTCATCCACCAATACAGGGTCTACCTTCTCCAACCCTACATCCTGGATTACATCATTCATATCATATGAGCTATAGACCATATTAACTATGATAATAGTATTTTGAACTGAATAGCTGATGAAGAAAAAAACTTTAAATGTAGTCAACCATATAATTAAACTTTGTTTTGGGAAGGAAAAACACCTTTTATAGAGATGGCTATAAAACACTCAGGATCTTGTCTCTTAATATGGTTAGACCTTGACTTTGGGATTTGAGTTCTATGCTGTAGTGTGGATAAGTGACTCAGTTGAGCACAGCTGAATTTTAACAACTTCGTTCTCCTAGTGTGGTAAATTGACCCATAGGTGACCTTTTGTAATATGATTTCCTGAAATACATGTGCATTGTTCCATTTTCAAAAGTATTATATTTACGTTTTGGGTTTTTGGTGATTCATTTTGTTAACCTGTATAAAAGGAATAAATTTCAGTGTGGTTGTAAAAATGCTATTTTATGTGAATTTAAGCACAGTCACATGCTGTTTTTTTAAAACCATGTTTTACCACTAATTTCCCAAAGTACAATAAAAATCCTAGAAGTAAAAATCTACTATAATGTACTGTAAAGCAGACAGATAAATGGTAGGGAATTATTTCACATTTTAGGAACTGAAATTCTGAGGTATTATAAGTATATACTGCATTTCCCTTGGATGCCTTTTCAGTTTTAGGCAACCCCAGAAGCACCAAAATACCCTGGAATTCCAATACTTTGATAGATTTATGTTTGTAATGTAAAAGGCATTACTAAATCATTTGGAAAGATAAGGCCAAAGTAATTGAATCTGTAGGCTCCAAGCTGGTGGGGATGTTGCTACTTGTTAATGCTTTTTGACAGAATGGTTGGAATCACGTAATGCACCGCAGTTACTAGTCTTACGTAACATTATTTTATAGCACTGTTTAAATGGTGTCATTTAGATGAAGTGTGTCCTACTCTGCTCATGGTCCTAAACTAAATATTTAGGGATGAATAGACTTTATTATAATTCTTCATTTCATGATAGAGTTTGATCCCATTCTTATGTGGTTTTTTGCTTATTGGATTTTAAACTACAATTTGAATGCCATGGAGGAATTTGAATAATGTATTAATGAGGGGCATTCTTACCGTTACAAACTTGTACTTGCTTGGGTTTCATTATTGTTTCATAAGTTTGATATTGTTTGATATTGTTCATATTGTTTCCTCTAACTTGAAACTTAAAACGATTAATTCTTTCCAATTTTTCTTATTGGTAAAGCAATCTAAAAACTTGGAACATTTTAGCATGAAGCCTACCAGATGACTTTGTATCGGAGAAGAGAAAAATAATGACTTATATGAATTTTACTGCTTAATTAGGTGTCTTTAGAATCAACTTTTGCATTTTAGGGGCTTATTACATTCCAGCTAAGATGACCACTTACACTTCATACAGAATTCGTATGTGTCAATTGACATTAGTAGGATATTATGATATATCATTTGAATAAACCCTCACGAAGTTTTCCCCCCAAATGGAGCATAATATAAACATGAAATGTGTAGTATGCATATATCATTTACTAGACATTTTATGATATGTGGATTTAGGAGATATTTCTTTCTGGCAAAGGATGAACTGATTGCTAATTTATCATTTTATTTTGTCGGGTACAGGCAAAACAAATTTCTGTCTTGGCCAATCAGATGCAAACACATCTTGAGCTTAGAGTGGAAGTTAGCAATATTAACGGCCATTTTAACCTTGCCTAGCCTAAATTAATAGACTATTTATTTATTTGTTTCAGAAATTGAAATTTAATTTATCTTCATCAAAGTTATAATATGATCATCAAAGTTACTGCTAGGGAAATGAGAAGAGAAGTCATAAACTGGGATATAATGCTTACAGCACACACATATGACAACAAGCTTGTACCTAGAACTTAGTAAACTGCATGTGTTAATCTATAATGTAAAGACAATAACCTTTGAAACTGTGGGCAAATATTTAGAAACTTCAC